TAGAAGAGAAAAGTAAAAACTACAGTACTTAGCAAAAGTTAGTTTACATGTGGTAATAATATTAATTAAGCATTCCGGTACACAACATGCCGGCGCCCTTGATGTGTCTACTGACAGATCAACTTCATTCGGGTTTTGGAATTGACGCCACCTTTTGTATTGCGCGACGGATGCACCCGTTCTTGGTTTCAATGTCGACAACGCGCACATACCCATCAGCAGCCTTTATGGCCCTCGTTACTCTTCCTATTAACCATGATTTAGGTGGTGCATTGTCTTCTGACACCAAAACTAAGTCGCCTTCAACTACGTTTTCTTTGTTCGCCGTCCACTTCGTCTTTCGCTGCAACTCGTACAGGTATTCGGATGACCAACGCTTCCAAAAGTGTTGTTTTATGGCCGTTAGTCGCACCCAGCGGTTTAAGTTTGAGATATGCTCGCTTTCGATAATAGGTTCCAAAATTCCAACAAGCGGCCCACCTGTCAAAAAATGTCCCGGCGTAATAACAGCTTCGTCGCTTGGGTCGGAAGACATTGCAGTCAAGGGCCGCGAGTTTAACGTGGCCTCGACTTCTGCGACCACAGTACATAGCTCCTCAAATGTTAGAAACGCTTCGCCTAGGATGCGAACCAGATGGTATTTAGCGGATTTCACCGCCGCCTCCCAGAGGCCGCCAAAGTGGGGTGAGCGCGGCGGTATATGGCGAAAANGACAAGCGGCCCTCCTGTCAAAAAATGTCCCGGCGTAATAACAGCTTCGTCGCTTGGGTCGGAAGACATTGCAGTCAAGGGCCGCGAGTTTAACGTGGCCTCGACTTCTGCGACCACAGTACATAGCTCCTCAAATGTTAGAAACGCTTCGCCTAGGATGCGAACCAGATGGTATTTAGCGGATTTCACCGCCGCCTCCCAGAGGCCGCCAAAGTGGGGTGAGCGCGGCGGTATATGGCGAAAATCGATGTTATTTGCGACACAATACCTCGAAATCATGCCCTGTTGTTGTTGTTCGTAAAATGTTTTTCTTAACTCCTGCAGCTCACGACGGGCACCAACAAAATTTGTGCCGTTGTCACAGAAAAGCTGTGCGCATATACACCTTTGAGCGACAAATCTTTTTTGCGCTGCAATGAATGCCTTTGCCGTCAGATCAGAAACCACCTCCATATGCACGGCCTTCGTCGCGAAACATACGAAGACGGCGATATAGCTTTTTGTAGTGCGCATTCCTCTTTGTTTGTACGTCGTCATAATCGGACCACAAAAGTCCACACCAGCAGTTGTAAACGGTCGCGCCATACTAACTCTCTCAGTCGGCAAATTACCCATGATCAGCTGCTGAAGCCTCGGTCGGCAGCGAAAGCACTGCAAGCATCNCCTCGGTCGGCAGCGAAAGCACTGCAATCATCTAGTCGTTACAGAGCGCACCACCTTTCGAGCATTTACAATCCAAAATCGTTGCCGCATTATCGCCATCAAGGCTTGCGTTCCTACGTGCATATGCTTTTCGTGCACATAGCGTATGTAACTGCGAACGAAGTTACTCTCTCCAGGTAGCAAAATCGGATGCTTTTCATCGTACGGCAACTTTGCGTTTTTCAAGCGACCACCCACACGCAGTATATCCACTCCATAGCAGCTCTCAATAAAAACGCTCAAGCACTTCACCTTACTCGTTGACGGCACCACACCGTCGCGCTTTAGTGCATTGTACTCGTTGTTAAAGTAGTGTTTTTGTAGGCAGAACGCTATGCGAATAAACGCTTCATCCAGCATTGTTGTTGTGAGAGGCGGAAGTTTGTCGTGACGACCCTTTATTCGCCGAAAAATACAAAGAAAATGCGCCACTCGTTTTTGTGTTCGGACGTAATCACTTCTCCCTTCAAGCCACTCGATAAAGGAATTTTTCTTTACTTCGGCCGCCAGCGTCGTCGTCTGCTTACGGCGTTCTTCTACGTCTTCCTCGGGTACGCTACACAACTTGTTGGCAGGCCATTGGTCGCATGGTTTCATTAAGAAAGCTGGCCCTGCAAACCAAAAAGATGTTAGTAGCTCATCAACATACGCACCTCTGGATATAACGTCAGCTGGATTTTGCCGAGAAGGAACATGTCTCCAAATTGCTGATGTAGTTGCTTCTTGTATCCAGGCTACCCTGTTAGCGACGAAAGTTGTCCAGGTTGATAGATGAGCCCTCAGCCACTCCAGCACAATTTCGGA